TATTACAAATATAAATTTTTATTTAATAATTGAAAAACAAATATATATAAGAATAAACACAATAAAAAGAATGTAACGAAATGAAATAATATTTTGGTGATGAACGAATCGAACGTTATATACAAACTCCATAATTACGTTCACCGATATGGTGAAAGTTGTAGGATATGACGGTCTCGATTGGCAACGAAGCTGATGTGAATAAGCTCGGGTGATTCAACGTCATCGTGTGTATATGGGTAAATATATTTATATAACATATATACATGTATAGGAATATAGGTGGTGGGTTCCAACTTTCAACGATATAATACTTGACCGTGAATAGTATCGATCGAGTTTGTTAAAACTCAGCCATGCGTGTATCATAGTGTAACACAACACAACCACCACGTGATAAATATATTACATGTTTACACATATGGTATATGCACAAATTATTTAAAAATCCAGTAATATTGCTCGATGCATCAATGAGATAGATGTTAGCTAAACAAAACATATCCTGTAAGAGTGAGAAAAAAGTAAAATTGACAAAAATTGAATGAACGATTTGGATTCGTTGGGATAAAATTAAAACGAATTCATACAGAAAAATATTACAGTAATTAACTTTATCGAAAATATAATTTATGAAAAACGATAAATCAAAATCGTGTGTGAGAACGATAGGAAGAAATAGAAAGTCTGTGTGTCCTATGTGTGTGTTTGTGTTTGTATTAGATAGAAAGAGAGAGAAAAGCACGTGACCACGATAAAAGCACGTGGTCTGTTCGCGCATGTTGAACTTGCCACGTGCGCGCGTCTTTTTAGTGACTTTTTATCTTCGACAATCTCTTCCGACAGTTAAATTCTTCGGCAAGATAAAAAAAAAAAAAAGAAAAGAAAGGAAATAAGTATCGGAAATGAAAAAAACAAAAAGAAAAGCTTATCGAGACGGGGTTCCCTTAGGGAAAAAGGGACAAATTATCGGAACAACACTTGACATTAATTATCAACGTTCCCGATACGCTCGAACGCGAAACGAAGTCACGAGATCACGGGTGTTCGATTTAAAAATAACACGAAACTAAATGCAAATGAAAGAGGAAGGATCGATCTGTCATTCTGTTGGGAGTTTGCTTTATACAAGAAGAAACTAGTGGAATAATAATACGTGACATCAATATTGACAAAATACCAGAACAAATGGGTTTACCGCATTCATCGACAAGAGGAAGAAATATATTTCAAAGTGTACAACAAAAATTCTTTTCGAAAGTTCTGTGTTTCGTATATTGCCAATCACGAGCGTGATAGACAGAAAGAACTAAATAAATAGAAGACATGACGACGCGCGTAAATATACGTTTCATGGTAACACACGGAAGTTAAAGAACCCATAGAAGAAATCGTGTTGAACGTGTCTACCGGAGGAAAGATTCCTCGGAGGTAAGGATAGAGGATCGAACAAGGAGAATGTAGAAGAGGGAGGAGACTAGAAAAGAGAAAGAGAAAAAAAACATAGAGAGAGAGAGAGAGAGAGAGAGAAAGGAAACGGAAAGTAAGAGTGAGGGGGATAAAATGAAAGGGAGAAGACAAGGGGAAAAGAGAAGCAGCATAAGCAGAGCCGGTTGAACCGGCATATCTCGTCTTGTGTTCTTCGAACGGAAGGACGAATGTTAGGGAAGAGACCAGAGCAACAGCAGCGTGAACAAACTCATATGAAACAAGAAGAATAAAAGAACAAGAAGGAAAGAAAATTTAAAAGATAAAACAAGAGTGAATAAAAATAAAAGAAGAAAACAAGATTTTTAAAAAACAAGTGGAATAGAATGATGGTATTGTGTTTATAATAATAATGTTAATATAAATATTACCTCGTGTGGACGGAGATGTTGATGACTACAATGCCTATGCTCGAACATTCCACACACAAGATCCACACCGCACACTACAATGAAAACAACGAGCGGCAACGATACGGTGCCGCATTGCATCTTCAACCGCACACGGGCCGCCATCACGGACAACCCTTCCACTGGAAAAGCATGACACGTACTGAGTGCATCCGCCGACATTCTGCATTTATATAGGCGCCGTCGTAAGCAGCGCCACGCCGGCGCTCACGCTCGATATTTCCAACACTCTGCTACGTTCCTCACACGAAGAGGAAGACGAAAACCACCACCACCACCACCACCACGGCAACCCTCTCCTCCTCTTTTATCCTTTTTATCTTTATTATTATCCTTGCTGCTACTGCTCTTCTTCTTCTTCTTCTTCTTCCTATCTTTACCACCACCAATCTCACTATTGTTATTATTCTTCTCGTCCAAACGATATACTCCGGGTTTGCGATCTGAAAAATGCATTTAAACGCGAGTGTCAATTTGAGATCACGAGAGAGCTATTTGTATCATTTAATATATACGATTTAACTAAATGAGATTATTTCTCTCTTTCCTTACTTTTTTATTTTATTTATGCATTCCTTCACATTTAAACGAATGAACGCACGACTGTTATTTTTATCATGCGATCTTGAGTGAAAATACTAAAAAAAATAGGGTGGATATATTTATATCTATTATCTTTATATCCCTATCAACTATCTAATCATTACAATCTTATTGATTACTTTTAAGTTTCAACTTTACGACACTTGTAAATGCTTCATACTTTCATTCAATTATCTATAAATATCGATGCTCTATTTCTCTAATCAGTAATCGTTCTTAAAAATTCATTTAAATATGATTTCAAGTATATTGATCGAATGCTTCTCGCAATAGTATTACGAATGCAAATAGAAGATCAATTTAATTGGACTCAAACAGGCTTGGTTTTTTCGTGAATTTAATTTTACGTTGACATTACATAATCACGCGATAAAGTACGATTTTTCTATTTCTTTTCTTTTTTTCTAATTGTTAATAAAAATATTATTATTTTTACGATCGCGCGAGATATGATTTTACAGAGAAAAAACTATAAATCCGTTCCCAGATATATTTATTAACTTATCAAGTATATAATGTTATAAATATATAAATATATTACATATATATATATACGTATATAAAGCATAATTTACTTCTAATATACTAATTTTAAGACCTACAAATTTGCGAAAACCATTTTTTACTTTGTTCGCAAGTTTTGTTAACGCAATGAGGACATCGCGTCAAAAATTTCGGATTAATAGTTTGTTCGGATCTTAAATGATTATAAACAATGTCAGCTAAAGCGTCTATAAATAATGGATGATCATTCGGCGCCGCTGATCTTCTAATATTTTCAACTCCAATCTGAAAATAAACGTACAATTTAAAATATTACTAGTGTATCGAGAATACGATTGATTTGTATGAATCATTTCTTACTTTCTCCGCTAATTCTTGACAATATTCAATATCCATTTCGTGAAGTGTTTCTATATGTTCATTTACAAATGCAACAGGTACTAAAATAAAATTTTTCTTTCCTTGCTTTACGTAATTCTTTAATGCATTATCCGTGAACGGTTCTAACCACGGCAAAGGCCCGACCTAAAGAACAAATTAATTATTATACGTCATGCTCTGATAAAAGGAAGATAACCCGCGAAAATGAATTTTTAAGATAAACGTGTTTTAATTAAAACTTATCCGTAACGAAGATCAACTCTTTTACACTTCAATTCTTTTTAACCAGAATACACAGATCACATTTGTTAATTACTTCTGATAATATTAATTTAAAAAAAAAAAATGAATGTACCTTGGATTGCCAAACTAAACTGTACGGATTGCAAAACTTTAATTTTTGCATAACTAACTGAACAGTAGCACCAATTTCAGAAGGATATGGATCACCTCTATTCACTGCCTAGAATAAATAAATTATATCAAATCAATATATTTGTAACAAAATAAAGAAACTAAGTTTTTCAATAAAACAATGCTAAACCTTTAAAGGAAGAGAATGCGCAGAAAATAAAATCATAACTTCATTTCTTTTGTCGCTAGGAAAATGTGCAAGCTCATCCATAATTCTTTGAGCAATGGTATTGATATAAAGTGGATGCGTCGACCACCTATCTATTATACTCCACTTCATATCTTTTGGTAATTCTCTGAAAACAATAGATTACTTAATTTATCAATCTTGATGAAGACCGCATAAGATACAAAAATCCTATTACTTATTTTTATAATGCTTGTATATGGCATTAAAACTTGATCCAGATGTGGCACAACTGTATTGTGGATATTGTGAAAATACTACAGTGCGTTCTGCTCCATCACTAAAAATATACACGAATGTTTTCCATTCTTATTGTTCCATTCTATATATGCAAATGTTTCAATTCTTACTCTTCTATTTCATTAAGCGTATCTTCCGTAAGAGGATCAGCATAACGAAAAGCTACATAATATTTGTGCGGTGCAGTTTCTGGCGAAATTTTATCCAATTTTGTACATAACAATTCACCCTGTTTATTTGTCCATTCCAAAATAGGGGATCCACCACCTATTTCAGAATATTTTTTCTGTACTTCAGGTGTACGTCTTTGAGCAATCCATGGCCCTAGTTTACTAAAATATAATTTAGAATTGCGCATAAAAAATTATAATAATAATACAACAAAATCATCGAAAACAAATGTTAAAATAAACCTTTGAAATGGTAACTGAATCATGTCACGATCTGTCATAATGCGTAATAAATATTGATGTACTTGTGATGTACTAGTTGGTCCTCCCATGTTCAACATTAATATACCAGTTTTTGGTTTCTCCTTTTTTAAAGGACTGGCATGCGTTTTAACTGAAATACCACGTGTAGACAAACGCAATATTTTTTCTGCACATTGTCCTGCATATGAAATGATTAATGTCATACAATATTTTTTACAACTGTATACACAGTTTACATAATTCCAATGGAAATTATGACAAAGTGGATGATATATTATAGATAAAATGAATTAGAAAAAAAATAATATTAACAATTTACTTACCTAATTGTACAAAACTTGATAATTTAATAATACTCATCTCGACAATAAATACACTTTTACAAAATGGTTAAAAAATGTAGCAGAAACTTATCGCAAAATTGACGAGTAATGCAAAATCACAATGATAATCAATACTCGATGTTATAGGTTATGTTCGATGTATCGAGTGTCAGCGAGCTCCCACACGCGCAACTTTACAAGAATATCCAATCTTCCTTCGTAAGAGACAAGTGGATTTCACGTTAGGCGAAGGTATATTATTTTAGATATATTTAATTAACTACTATCGTGGAATAATCATTTTCCTAATGACAGATAATATTTAAATAAGACCATGGCGGATGAAATTATCGAAGAATTGGGACCATCCGATCTGGGTACTTTGGAATTGTAAGTTAATTAAACTTACCAAATTCGTTTACAAAGAAGAATGGAGAAAAGTTCATCTCTTTAATTTCTTTCTTGCACAGTTGGGAAAGGGTGTACACCGAAGAACTCGATAATTTCAAGGATCACGGGGACGTCGGTGAAATATGGTTCGGTAAAAGGGCTTCACTAAATGTTGTTAAGTAAGAACACCATTTATTACAATTTTATTATTTATTAACTAAACATGAATAAGAACGCGGAAGATCAATGCACTTTGCCGCGAAAATATAAACTGCATTTTATTCGTCGTGCTTTATCGTACTACTAACGCCATCTCTCATTAATTGTTGCAACTTCAAACGTCAGCACTTTTTTTCTGATGGTAATGTAGAATAAAAATCACGAGTTACCGACATTTGTATTATATTTTATTATAAATTAACAAAAGAGTTAATTAAAAAATTAGGAGATTCAACGAAAAATATTATTTAAAAGTAATTTTGACCGAAAAAAATAATTGTTTCTATGTTAGATTCAAACTTATCAATCCACCTGTATATATATTATATGAGTGTATAACATTGACTTTAAATATAATAAAATATATATCTATATATATCTTTTTACAACTTTAAACGTTATTATATTAATATTATTATCATAAATGGTATATGAAAATAATATTAATATAATATTATTATATATTTTATCAACAGATGGATCAGCACGAAATTAAATTTCGATATGGAAAATGATCAAATAATAGATATTGGATGTGGAAATGGTATGATTTTAGTAGAACTCGCAAAAAAAGGTTTTAAACAATTAACCGGAGTAGATTATTCCCAGAAAGCTATAAGTTTAGCTAATGAAATATTGAAAGAAAATAACGTTACTTCTATAAAATTACAAGTGTGCGATATCCTCGATACCTCGAATCATGGATTATTAACGAATTATTTTAAAGTAGCACACGATAAAGGAACTTACGATGCAATCAGCCTTCATCCTGACGAACCAGCTGATAAAAGAGGAAAATATATTGACAACGTTTACAATATCCTCCAACAAAACGGATTTTTAATTTTGACTTCCTGCAATTGGACTAAAAATGAATTACTCATTCATTTCCAAAATAGTAAGTTCAATTAAAGAATTTTAGTTTTATCAATCGAACTAATTATTCTATAATTATTTGCAGAGTTCGATCTCATCGATGAGCTTCCTGTTGAATCCTTCCAGTTTGGTGGAAAACAGGGAAATATTGTTACACAATTAGTTTTTAGAAAAAAATGAATAAACTTTGACTCTATCAAGAAATCTTTATTAGATCTTGTAATATTTTATTGAATAAATCTAAATTTATTTTATCTACAAAAAAAAAAATCTATATTCCTTTTTTTCCTTCGATTGTAAGATTACTATCGTATCCTGCAATTGATAAATATATTGAACAAGAAAAAAAAAAAGAAAAAAGCAAAGCAAAATCGGGATTATGGTAGAAATTTTTTAAGGATTCGAAGATTTATTCGTGCACGAAAAATCGAAGTACATAATCGAAGAAGAGAGAGTGTTAGAAATTCTTTAAACCATTATCAAATTACAAACTTTACAAAAGGCACTAACACTAAAGTAAATATTGTGATAATAGATACTATATATTTTCTTTTAATATATATTTATATATATGTAAAATATACATATACATATATATATATGCAATTAGCTTAAAGATAATTAACGTTATTCCTCTAGTGCAATATCTTTGGTACATTAAGGCATCATTGGCATATGCAGACTCCACGTTCTACTACTAATTCTAAATAAAGAATAAGATTTCAAATACACGTTGTACTGTTATTCAGTGTTAATGTACTCCAGAGATTTTCTTCTAAATATTCATAGATCGAGAATCATTTACATCTAGATTAAATTTTCAATACAATTTCACAGACGTATTTACTAATCTTATACTAATCAAGCCTAATTAATATGCCATACTTTAAATAAATTGCACATCATAGTAGAGAAATATAAATTACAAATATTACTATATACTTAAAATACAGTCTGGAGAGAATCATGTATTTATTAAAAAATCAAGATTTAAAGGGTGTGTCCCAGTTATTTTCCGTAACAAACATTTTACCAAAATATTTTATAAATAAAAATATAAGAAAACGACGTTATCCAAACATGAGCTCTTAAATGCATAATTAAACAATTCTAACAAAAATATCCATATGAACGATATCGGATAAATATCATATGGTGTTTCGTCGATACAACATAAGAACACATAGTCAAGATTTATTGGAACATGCAACAATAATATATTCAGAGCTCACAGGTTCATAGTTTTTTTTAGATTTTCTATTAAACGAATTGCAGCCAGAACATTTAAAATATTTATTGCATTATGTGGTACCCCTATATGGCAATAATTAAATGATCATTATCCCAAACAATAAATAAATCAATCGAAGGACCAATTCCTTGGCCCCCAGATTCAGAAACAGATTTATCACGCCAATAAATTTTAACTTGTGTTGTTGACTTGCAGAGTCTACACCATATTTTTTTCATATACAATATGTTGACTAAATTTTACGGGAAAAAAAACTGAGCCAACCAGTATATTATATAATATCTATATCTTATTATACGTTACGATATTCCAATGAATTCGTGAACAAACTTTGATATACTGATAATAAGAACAAATACGATTGTGCATCGTACGATTCACGCATAGTGACTTTCAACATGTATACTAATGAATTTATACTTAATCGAGAATTCGTTGTTTATTATTAATGCAAACGAACGCGATAAATCAAAGTATCGTATTTTTTTTTAAACATAGAATTATGGTGCATTGTTTTATCATTTCTTCTTGTAATCGACAATGATACGATTCTTCTATTGTAAAACTAGATACGTAATAAAACACACATATTATAGTTATGTATATCCAGTAAGAATAAAAAAAAAAAATCAAACTCTATATATTGTCTTATTACGTAAATTGAATCGAATGAAAAGATGTTATCAGAAAATATTTCTATACGTTGAAAGTACACGTAGAAGAAGGCACCTAGCATTTAAGATATTTTAGTATTTTTTTATTCTCGAGTGTTCTAATTTAAAAAAGAAAAAGAAAAAAGAAAAAAGATAAAATTCGTCTGATCACTAAGTTCGTCGCTATCGAAATTATTAATAGTCATACAAGGGTTCATTGTACATAAGGATAATAAAGATTTGTTGAAATAATGACATTTTCAAAAAGAGATATTTCATTGAAATATATTGGAGGATTTATAAGTAATTAATCCTTCCTAAGAAGACCGTTAATACCGGGAACAGTATCCAGGAAATATTAGTGAGGATTGATGAACTACCTAAAATATGAATCACAAATTAAATATATAAATGTTATCTTAATATTATAATATTAAAGATAACATATTGTATAGATATATTACCGCTGCACATCAAATTATCCTCGACGTATCCCTCGCGACAATAACAGCGTTTCCCGGAAGTAGTGTTATTTAATTTAACAATACAATGCGCACCTTCGATGCATTCGCTATCATCGTTGCACGGTGCTCTGATAGCTGAAAATATACAAATTAACAAAAATGCCATAATCATTTTTCTATGCTTGACATTTTTCCGATAGAAAAGAAAATATTTGTCTCGCGTTGATGAAAAAAAACAAAAAAAACAAACAAGTAGGCCGTACACACTTGTTGTTTGGTAAATTTCAATAGATTCTCGAAAGGTAAATGTAAATTAACTTTAAATTGCGTTATAATTATCCACGAGTTTGTTTAGTTGTTCGGTTAAAATAATCTATGACGTAATATAAACTAATCGATCGAAACGAATTCTTTATAATGCATCTAAGCATATGCTTTTGACATGTTTAACTTTCTAACCTTTGGTACCTGCCAGTACAAAATGATAGACTCGTACGCTATCGTTTCATCAATTTAAATTGTTCGATTTCCGTTCTATTCCTAAAATTGTTCGTTAACATGCATATTTCAAATGATGAATCTTCTGTTATTCATTGGTCCGTCTGTCGAACATTTTATTACAACATGCGAAGGATAAATAATTTTGTTTATAATCGATGATCGATGCCGAGAGAAAATAGAACAAAAAACAAACCTCGATCGTACACCTCGTAATATTCTTTTTACATTTTATTTATTATTTTTATAAAAAATAAGAAACTCGAATATTTTCTTGAAGAAAATACGATGAATCGGCAGAACGCGTAAAAAACGATAGTAGTACTCTAAAGGCGTGCCAATTTGCATAGATAACCATAAACGCGATACGTACATCGTCATATGTTTTCACATATTGCACAGGAACACGTAAGTGTATGCAAATGTTACTCTATGTGCCACCAACTTGTAGAACTTCTATTCTATAGCCGTTTCTAAGTTTCAATTTACTTGCTGGGAGTGTAGGAAAACTTTGAAATGAAACGTTTTTACGTTAACGCGTACCGTTATCTCTTTTGAATATTTCTTTACAAAAGGAGAAAACAAGAGAGAGATAGAGAGAGATAAAAAGTTTATCAAATATCTTCGTAAAAGTATTGTACCTTTGTATTTGTTGGTGCAAGCACCGTTTACTGGTGCATTATAATCACCACAAAGACAACGAGTCCTTCCATCCCGTTGATCGGCCAAGCACGTAGTGTTTTGAATTCCAGCACAGTCCGATTCCATTCTACATTCTCGCGCTTTTCCAACTGAAATAAGATCAACGAGAACATTAGGAAGAAAAGGGTTCTTTCCAAAGCCAATGATACACAAATTTCCTACCAAACGATGTTACTACTGCACGTTCCAGTCATTCGTTTTACTTACTTTGAAACATCCGTACCCTCCCCTCTGCTCCCGTCACCCCAACGAAAGATAAATAAAATCGTGTAGAATAAAATGAACATTTGATTGAAACCATTACCGATATGGAAAAAAAATTATTCTCGAATTACTATCGATTTGACGAATATTATTTCGAACGTTTCGAAAATTTGTATGAAGAAATTCACCTTAGTTATTTAAAACATTGGTATACTGCACTCGTATATACAAGATCCCCTTGTAAGATATGCAACTTTGTTGCACCATACAAAAGGGATTTGTTTCGATGTAATAGATAATGTTAAAAAAAAAAAAAAGAAAAATAAAGAACGTACAAATGGACGTGTACAAATATAGGAGGAAAAAAATTCAACTACGAAAATTGGATATTTGAATTGGCATATTCAACGAACGATTACAAAGGATGAAGTTTTCCAAAGAAAAACAAAAAAATTGATCAATTTAATTATTTCTATCATAAGTGAGAACTTTTTTCTTCTTTTTTTTTTTTTTTTGAGAGAGAGAGAGAAAAAATATGTGACAGGAAGAATATTAAATCGGCTTTAGAAAATTTACAAACCATTAAGGGAATGATAGAAATGGAAAAGATTATCGTGAAACGTTAGCAAAGGTAAAAAAGCTTGTCCGTTCTTTGATCAACTCATTTAATAACTTTTATCCGTCAAAGATTACGCTAGTTTGCCAAGGATTATTCTTTGAAAATTTTCCCTTTGACTTACCCGGAGTAGGAGGCGGCGGTGGATTTTGATTTTGATTTTGTGGATTAGTCTTTCCAAAAGTTGTCAGCGCATGACTCATGGATGGTAAAATAGCGAAAATAACGATAAGACCCAACGAACAAATCCAAAAACTCGTCTTCTCCTTCATATTTTATTAATTAGAAATAAATATTTTTCTTCTCCAAAAAATATAAAACAGTTCCCCCGTTTTCTTTTCTTTTGTTTGTTTGTTTTTTCTTCGAATTATCTTTTAATTATCACTTTCTACCACGTTAAAGATACAATATAACACTTTGCGCGACAACAGATAAATCTTTTAATTGGCTCAAATGGAAAACAATGTGGAATGTGAAAGAAAGTTAAAAAAAAAAAAAAAGAAAAATCACTTGTTTTTTGATATATTTTTTATTTGTCAATTTATTATTTTTTTTTTTCTTTCCTTTCGTTTTCTCCCTTTATATAATATAGCTATCAAAGTATATATTTTTGTCGTGAAAATTTTCTTTATCGACGAGGAGAACAAACTCTCTCATACGACAAAACTTTTTCCTTTGGCGTGTTCCACTATTTTTCAGGAAACGTAAATATGATGGAAAAGCTTTCACAGGAATTTTTCCTTTAACATAGGAAGAAGTCAGAGTCGGCACGGTATTAGCTCTGATTCGTAGACTGCGTGTTGCAAGGACGTTGGTAGGCCTTTTAAGCCTTCGAAAGAAGCCCCCACCCCAAAGTCGGCGCATATTACCACCACCGTGGCGGAAAACACCCTATGCCAAAACGTTCTTACCTCGATTCCTCCTTTCCCTTACTTCTACGTGCACGCTTTGACTTATTTCCTCACCTTCTTCGATCGAAGAAGAAATTCTCGAAGTTACAATTGCACAACAATTCTTGTTTTTTTTTCTTTTTTTATTATTATTAACTTTTATTAATTTATTTTTCATTACAAGGAACGCGTAAATATTTGTCAATGGTAAATAAAATTTAAAAATAAAACCGCATTACAACAACATTACCTTTTTTTTGTAACAACACGACGCGCACTTTTATTTTTAATATTTAATAAGTGCAAAACGATAAGTCCCCCCCCCTCCCTCCCTCCCTCCCCCGAATGACAAATTTAAACGAATACGCGAAAATGTACAATCGTAATTAACGATAAGAAAAATATCGTTTTTCTATAATAAAATTCGCATATAAATGAGAACTTAAAACATATCGCGTTTCGAGTTAAATTATCCAAGAGGAAAAAACTTTATAAACGACTTTACTGATATTATTCATAATTTTCAAACTAGCAAATAAGTTATATACAAAAGCTCGTAATTACTTTAATCGCGTTCCACGCGTTTTAAAGTTACAACATTACAAATCGATCGATTCTTTCGTGTCTTTTTTCATGAACAATTTCTGATTCGATAGAAAATGAAAACAAACAAATAACTTCAAAAGTAAAAGAAAAAGTAATCGATCGATAATCGAGTATTTATCGCAAGCACGGTTTCCGTCAACAGAGGGGAGGGGGGAATGGAATGAAAAAAAAAAAAGTCGATTTGTTTTTAGGATATAACAAATAAACGATTGAATTGTTACGGTAAGAAACTGGCGTGCGAAAATGAAAAGGACAAAGGGAAAATTGGCTTGAAGGTATATAATATTAATTCGAGCAAAGAACAAAGAGGAGAAGAGAATCTTCCGGTGACGTTAGCACGAAAAGAGACTCGACAATTTATTGCATTGCTTTCACTGTTTTATAGCTCTAAGTATATAAAGTTTCCTAAAGAAGATTTGTCTTTACTCGCGTAACAGTAACAACTAACAATTCGTATTTGTTCTCGTCCGAATAGTACCGAAAAACACACTAAGAAACAATAAGTTACATTTCGAGCATACTAGAATTCTACTATCTTAACGATATCTTTCTCTTTACTTTCACCTACTTCTCTTAACAGTTTAGAGACACTTTAAAAATCGACCAATAATACACAGTGTGTTAGAAATGTAAGAAAAAATAAATAATAACTCGAGGAACGACCACTCACGCGAATTTAAATGAAAGCTTTCTTTTCTTTTTTTTTTTTTTATCTCTCAACAGATTTTACAAAGAAAAATACGAAGTAACGCAGAAAACAAAAATCTGTGAGATAAGATTTGTTAAAGTTAACTTATTGTGAAACACCTAATTTTTAATTCTTTCGATTGATGGCGAGGATGATGACTGGGTCGGTTTGAAATAAAATTGAAAAAAAATATGAAAAGAAAATAAACGGAAAAGGGGAAAGAAAATAAAAAAAGAAACTTTAAGACGACGAATGTAAATCGAACGTAAATCAACGTTATGCGTGAATCATGAAACACTCAGAACGGTGAGCACGCTCCTGGATAAGGATCGCAATAAAAATAAAATGAAATAAAAAAAATAAACCCGAGGGAAAAGTAACGACGCGTCGCTTGATATTTCGTGATCTCGATTCAAACTATTGGAATGTGTACGCTGCCAAGTTGCTTTGGTATACGATTAAGATCAACGCAAAATATTTGAACAAGGGCAGAGAATAGCCTTTCAAGTTTTTTAAAACACCACACATACCGATAATTTAGATATACCTATTTATACAGTAACCAATTTTTAACAAAAATTATATATTTTGCAATGGAATGCTAAAGATAGTCAATTCGATGCTGGTTTAAATAATAAATAAAAGTATTTTTAGAAATATTTTTTCGATAATACGAAGGAAAAACAAAAAAAGCAAGGACATTAAAAATTGCATTCGAATTTCAAATAGAAAAACCGATGATACTAAGTTTATTTTTTAAACAGAAAAAAACATGCACTGATTATTCGATTTAAATTGAAATCGCGTTTTAACTTAAACCGTGTATCGGAATATGTGAAAAATCAAACGATACAACAAACAGGATCGCGAAAATTGTGACGAGGTTGATCAGCAAATAGGTCGCTGCGTAATCGCCGATCAAATAATTGTAATTGCCAATTAGCTAACATATAGAAGAGCGTTATCAACTTAACACCGACATAAATCCTTACAGATTAGCATAAATAAGTTCAAGGCCTGGTGTTCACTGCGGTTATTTGAGTAATGCATTAATTGTCATGCGACATGCTTTTATTTCGAGTGTTCACGAATATCATTGAATATAATTTCATTGCGATCCTCATCATCATCATCATCGTCATCATCGACGATATAATTCAATAGAATCAAATTTCTGTTATACGTTTCGTATTCATTCGTATGAATTTTCTATTACATTATTACATACCCCCAAAAGTAAAAATATATATAACCATTAAATATTATTTATATTTATGCATTGTTCTTATTAACAAATAACATTACGAATTTCAATATATAAATAATAATTGAAATATATTTAATTTATAATTTCTAAAGTTTCATATTTGAAAATTCCTTCGATACATAATCATCCTCGAGTTTACGTTCTCGAAGATAAAGCTCGTGTAATGCGTTGATATGAGAAAAGAGATAATATCCATATATTATCTGAATAAAATCTTCTCAACTTCTCGTTCAATCTTGCCATCGAGTATTATCGCATCTTATTTTAAATTAACCTAATTTTAAACATATATGCATTCAATCGTTTGTGAGAATTTCGTTGTTCGTCGTAATCCTTCTTCTCCTTCTCTTCCCATTCGAGTATTAATCATCGAAAAAAGTTTCTATTGAAAATATTAAAAAGGGACAATATTAGCATGCTAATCACGCCATTCTAAATTTATTCATTTCTTTGTGTTAATACACGCTTTGATAAATCAACAATATTGCGGATGAAAAATTTCAACGATAACGATTTTGACGTTTCTAATTTTTTAATGATGACGCAACAGAGAGACACATAATGATCATTTATCAATCTTTGTAATATCGTCAAAAGTTATTTTGTCCCATACTCTTCGCGAGTTTACTTCTTCTTCTAATATTTAGTTACCAAACACTGGTTCCTTTTCATGATATCTAGATAAATCTAACCACCAACGTATTGGATCTTCTGTATCTTGATACGAATTTTCTTCAAGATACGCATCCGTAGATGGGTTTATATTCATTCCCCATTCTGTTGAGATATCCGGCTTTCCGGATTCAAAATTAGAAAAATCCATCGTATCTTCTATTGGTTCCTGATCGTTTATACCATAATTATCAGGAATATTTTCATTAGATAATTTCATTCGATTCGAGTTGAAGTTTATTGAGAAATGGGGATCGATAAAAGAGTAAGTATTTTGAGTAGATTCATCGTTTCCTTCCGTAGATGAATCACTAAATGGATTAAAAGAAGAATCATCGTTGGATTCTTGAAAAATATCAAAATCTTGTCCCTCCTTAATTAGTTTTAAAGGAATAGAATCACATCTCAATACTTTAATACCTTCGATTATGTCTTCGACACAACTGTTATTTTCCTGACGTTGTCCACTTTCAATCTCTTTTTCGGAATTAACGGAAGGATCAATGTCATCGCTGAAAATAAGTCCCCCAAGATGGAGAGTCTTAATTACGTTTACAAATTGTTCTTCATTAAATTTATCAAACATTTCCGTCGGTATATTCCTTTCCGTAGATTCTTCTTCCGTTTTACTCGTTTCAATACTACTATCTTCCATTTTCCAATCTAAGATAGGAAAGAACCTAGACTTCAATTCGCTCGTAGTATCATCCTCCACTTTTGAGGTATCAGACTTTTCTAAGTCTTCGTCGTTTACAAAGGAATGAGTCAAATCTAAGTAACCGCGATCAGGATTTATCCTGAGATATTTATGCGGATCTTCGTTTTCTTCGAAATTTTCTTCTGATACGGAACCTGATCCCTCAACCTGAAACCTCCCCAGTTTCAAGTTTTCTAAAATATCCGAAGAATCAACATATGGACTCCAATATTCGGACTTCTCGTCAATACTCGAATTTTCCGTAGTTTCAACTAAATCATCGGTTATACTACTCGAATAATTATCAGATAAATCACTTAATAATATATTAATTAAATTTAATCGCATCAAAAGAATCTCCATTTCTTTATTTTCGGACGCTGAATTATATTCGTCAGAGTTTAAATCACTTTCCTCTGTTTCACTGTTACGGGTTTCTTTCGAAGAATTATCGATAGATGATTTGGAATCCATATAAAAATTAGAAAACAATGGGGTGTACCACTCGAGCACCGCTTGTTCATCCTTATCATTATTTTCTATTATTTCCGAACTCGACACTGCATTTTCCATTTTATTTTTGTAATCGTCAATTTGTAATTCTGACGAATCCTCAATTGATTTATACGTACTAGTATTTTCAAAGGGATTTGTGGTAACCTTTTCTTCAGGATTTATTATAAAAATATCATTTTTATCTGAACTCGAATCAAGAATTTTCATAGTCGTAACAAGTTCATCATCGTTAGATAAAATATTATTCGAAAATGAAACCCTTTCAATAGGATTATTCGTTGTCGTAATCGTTTCTAAACTTTCTTCGACATTATTCAAAATTAACGGCGATGATTCGTTCAAAACTTTCAAAAATTCATCTTTGCCAGATGATTTAGAACCCGAATTCAAAATGTAGGAATGATTATTTCCATGTCGACTGTACGTTTCCCAAATGGTATAACTACTCCATGCAAAGAAACAAATCAATTGAAAATAGAAAATCAATTTAGCGATTTGTATAAATTGTTTATAAAAGTCGATTTTTTCTCGTTTCACGTTCTTCCTTATTTCAGGCTTTAAGCCTTCCTCTGCTGAGACAAGCTTATCTAAAAAAAACAAAATCCTATCAAAACCAAACACAATCTTACATACAATGAATTAATATATGTAATTCATTATATTATTATCAACGTGGGAAACAATTTAATCCGATTATTATCCTAACATAAGTATATTATATCTGTTGCTAACTATTAAACGAAATTTGTTACTATCAATATTAGAAATTTTAGAATATTCCTCTAATAATAAATAAACCGAATAAAATGCATTTAAAAAGAAAACAAAATATAGCAACTTACCGTTGCTAGTACGCCAGTGTTCCTCCATGATGAAAGAAGATCGATAACAAACTGAAGCTCTCGAAGAAATGAAAACGTTAAATGTTCACTTTTGTACAACGTATTAGTGACCTCGGCCTGACAAAGCTTAGCAAAAATAAAATTAAATAGTCGAGGCTAAGATAAGCTAGCCAGACTACCACATGCATACAACTATAAAGAAAAAACTGAAAGGTCAGACTTTATCATTTTGAGGGGTCAGCTATGATAGCTTTATGTTCATTCTCAATTATGAGAGATACTTTCATCGAATATATTTCATCGATTATTACTCTGTTTATTTCTGAGATTGTAATATTTTTGATACCAAGGTAAATATATAATAACGAAAAACAATGTGTGCAATATCGTATCAATTCGTAGAATAATTTTCTAACTAAAACAATTGGTACATGCAATAATAAAAAGTTTCAGAATTGAACGATATCTTTGATAATACTTTTGTATCATCTCACATAATTATATCTTTATTTAAAGTGTGAAATAAAACTGCGAACTGTAACCAGTATTCCCCCTACACGCTATATTCGCGTGATATTTATGTATATATTTCCTTTTTATTCTGTTATACATTTTAACATACAATCGCGTCAACAGAAAGGATAAATTATTAGAAAACAACTTTTGTTATGTAACTTCATATAACTTACTTGCGTATATTTCTAATCTATTTTCATAAATCTTTTATATCGTTGTGCAATGAATTTCCTATCGACACAAATTATATATATATGTTTATTTTGATAATGCATTTGATTATTTCAATCATTATTATTAGAGACGATTCAAACAAAATATTTATAATTTCTCATTTCGAATATTACCAAGACATATTTTCTAAGAAATGTTATTCTCCGCGTTGAATTTCTTTTTATGAAATCATAATACGTAATGGTTTTTACCACTGAATCTATATCGATAGATTATATCCAATTATTTATATCGTAATAATTCAAACAACGATTTTATAACAAGAAAAAAGTAATATTTTTTATAATTAAATACAAATAATAGTCAAATTGTGATAATGAAATTGATATAAATGCTAAATGTGTGTGAAAACCTAATTACTTATTTAAAATTAAAAACCGATTGCAGTATTTAAAAATTCATTCAATTAATAAAATCTTTTGTTGTGTCATTCCTCAATGATTCTTTACAATGCACGATATCGGAAATAATTCATAAGACATTTGTCAAAGATTACATCTTTCGATATCAAACCAGGTGTTCAATCATTATCTGATAGCATTAATAATATTAGATAAAAACTCTATACTTTTAACAAGAAATGACAATATCAGAGAACACAGTTGTACCGTTAAGTCGACGATTATGTGGCTGCCTACGAATTCTACGTTTATTTTTCTCCTAATCGTACAAATAGTCTTTCATTTCGGTAAGCTCTATCTATCACAAATATTATTAATTATACAAATAAACTTTATATCGTAAAAAAAACTCGATTCCGTACCAAAATGCATATAAATTCATAGACAAAACACTTAAATTACAACTAAGAGAAATAGAGAAAAATAGGAAGAATAAAGTCGAGTTCAATTCCAAAGGTTATTTGCAAGCTTGCATTATTAAGAAAATGAATCGCATGCCGATTCGCGAAATTGAAAAATGTTGCACGAATGCGAATTATCTTCGAGAAAGGAAAGTGAAAAAAGAGAAGACGTATAAAAAAAAATATGAAAAAAACAAAATAAAAAAGGCAAGAAAACAGAGAGAACATGTTAAAAAAAAAAAAAAAAGGAGAAGAGAGGTTGCTCAAAGAGCGAGTATTTAAAACGTAGCTTGAAAGTTTAATGGAACGAGATGCATTCGCGATACGAACACTGCTAGAAGATTAAAAACCATAAACACAAGTGTGAAATGGGGAGAAAAAGAGAGGAATAAAAAGAGATTGCACGGGTATGGTACTCGTGTGGTTTCATAACTTCTATTAATATTTCTTTTCTCTCTCTATTTTTTGCCTTTTTTTGTTTCTTTCTTTTAGTAGGATAACGCTCATGCATGGCAATCAGAGCGTGATGATAAATTTGCACATAATCTAATGCGTATCCTTAATTTAATCTGAATTCAACGAGTTTTACATTGTCGACACGTCCATCTAAACATTTCTAAATCAAATAACGAAACATTATCTGTAGAAATTTCAGTTAATTCGTTCGATAATAATCCATCGGAGAATAATGAAGTCTCGGCGAATAAGATCGAGTGGAATTGCGAATCAGATTTCGAATGTACGGCCAAAGGCAGCGTTTGTAAAAATGCACAATGTCAGTGCACGTCTGGTTACGTTTTTAACAATGATATGAGTTCCTGTTTACCAGGTAATTGCATGCTTGTTGCATTTTCTTTCTTTCTTTCATTTATATTATCAGCAAATGCAACCGAATGAAACAATAATTATTGATACGGATCGTGAACTTTTTTGAAAAGTTGCTAATAATTACGGCGACAAGTGCAACGAGACAATACAGTGTTCGAGATATCTTTTCATTGGTGGACAGTGCATCGAAAACGCATGCGTCTGCGGTCACGGATTTCATTACCTGCATGGTAGATGTTACAAGACAATAGGTAAGCTCGTAAGATCATGAAAATTATGACATGGGTGTGTGTGTGTGTGTGCTAAAAGATAAGATATGAAATGAAATAGGATGATAAAGAGGGTGGCTAAAAAATAACGATCGAGTCTCTATGATCTTTTCTTTCGTGAACTTAACAAAAATTTTATTCAAACTTAGAACTTGGCGAGAAATGTAAAACTAACGACGACTGTCACATAAACAATGAATTTGGATCTACCGTCTGCGATAATGGAATTTGTAAATGTCGTGATGGATTCTACCAACGAGAATATCGTTCCTGTCGCAAGAAAGCAAGTAAGATACACATAATTGTTATATTTATATTTAACGAAATTATTTAATTTTTCTATTTCTCAGATCTCGGCGAGGAATGTTTAGTGGACATCGATTGTAAATTTAATGAAGGTGCTTACTGCAATAATAAATGTACTATTGATCAAGAGAAAAGTTATAATATAAAACCGCAAACTATCTACAATTTATTTTATACAAAATTTGCTAATGAAAACGGTAAATATTTACAATAAAAAAAAAAAAAAAAGTTGGTAACAATACATATGATCGAAGGCTCGATACTAAATTTATGTGCATCTTTTTAATTTGTTTTTGTAGATCCGACGACCGAGCTAAATGATTGTACAAAAAATTCCGATTGTGAGATTCACGAGAATGCAATATGTGGTAGTCGAGGAAAATGCATCTGTAAACGCGCATATTATGTATCTTCTTCGAATAATAAAATCAAAATATGCGTTCCAGGTATAAACTAAAGATTACAAAATACTTTACAAGATATTTTATTTAAATGAATGACACAACCCTTCTATGTATTTTCTTTAAGAACTCGGTCAACCTTGCGAAAATAAAAATTCAACTAACCCAAATATAATTTGTAAAAATGATACATGGAGTTGCAAATATAAAATGCTACCATCAAAGAATAATCAAGAATGTCTGAAAGGTAAATTTATTTTTAAGTACGTTATTTTAATACGACCAATTTTTAATTAATACCGTTCGATCAATATTTCAGCTACGAGAAAATATAATACGTCTTGCCTACGGGACGGACAATGTTCCATTTTTGGTCCTGACGCGATTTGCAAGAAGAAAAGGTGTATATGTAACGATGAAAGATCACATTTCGTCGAAGAATTACAATTTTGTTGGACGAATAAAGGAATAAACGATACATGTAAAACTAACGAAGATTGTTATGTTAAAGAATTTAACGGTACCCTCGTTTGTACGAATAATAATTGTAATTGTCCTGAAGGAACACATTTGAACTCCGACGAAACTACGTGTATAAATATTAACGCTGGTATATTTGAAATGTCTTTCGATCGATGCACAAAAATAATACTGTTCACATATTTACCAATCATATAACTTTTCTATTTGTGATTATTTTCAGAATTGGGAATGATATGCGAATCCGACGAACATTGTAAAATATCGAATTCTATATGCGTCAATAACATATGCGTTTGCAATAACAATTATTACGAGTTTGACAAACAATGTTATGCAGGTAATCAAATTTCTCAACGTTAACAATGGTCATTGATTTTTTCCGTTTAATTCGATTTCCCAATGAATTTCAGGTGTAAACGCAACGTGCACTTCGAATAATCACTGTAAACCAAATCATACTTTTTGTTCATCCGGAATATGTACTTGCGAAGAAGGTTACATCGGCTCATCGACATCTACCTGTTTGCCAAGTAAGAATTATAATGCACTTTACTTAACCGAATACCTTATTCTGATTTACGAAATGATTTTCCTGTTAATTTAAGCGGCACAATACGGAGAAGAATGTTCGGAGGATATACAATGTAACGCTGTAACACCAAATTCGATTTGTTCCTGGAATCCGAATTATACAAACTCATCGATTAAATCTTGCATCTGTGGCGACGATCGTTACTTCAGATTATCCAATTGCCCGAAAAAGAAACGTATGAATAAATGATAACTATAACAGAAAAAAAAAGAAAAAACAAAAAGTATATCGCGCGTATATTTAAAATAAATATCAAATAAAATATAAAAATCTGTGCGTATATCTATTTGCAGAATGGGTCTCGTAATAACACAACCACATCGGGAATTAGCATAATAATAAAAATCGATTCTATTTCAGTTCTCGGCGAATCCTGCACGTCGTACGACGAGTGCTACTTAGATTCCAATCAGAACCGAGCTATTTGCATGAAAGGTTTGTGTAGGTGCAACTGGCAATACGTGCAGGTCGACGACACCAAATGTCTCGAGAACAATTTGAAAAACCGAATTGCGATGACGGGTAAGTAACCTTGACATTAAATTTTTTCAAACGAATCGACAAAATTTTTATTCTGTCCTCGATTTATTCTACCTTTATATCCGCACGCTTATTCCTCTAATTATTTTATATATACCCCTACTTAAATATCCCTAAATGTATGTATAATATTAGATATATATATACGTGCATGTAGAAAAACAAGGACGAAACTTAGAGAATTAACAAGTGCCATTTTTATGTGAGCATAAAAGACTATTTATGTGACGAAGTAATATGCCCCATAATTACCTATTGCATGTCAGTTATAAACTTCTCTTTCTTCTTTCACCTTTCATTCCTTTTGTCTGTGTGTGTGTGTTACAATTTTTGCGATCTATCCTATTGATAGAATTTAACTAAAATTACAAATCTCACCCAAGACAATTTTTCTCGCGTTTTCGTTAGATTTCAATAGAAATAAAATTACTAAATAAAATCAATTTAAAGAAAAATCTAATTGCATATGGATTAAAAAAAAATTTCATATCGATCAACATCGATTTAGAATAAAATTTATCGACGATTATCTAAAATTGTTTCCCGATTCGATTTTCCTAACATTTTTCAACTCTTACCCTTTTCCTTTTATCATCCTTCAACGTTCTCGTTAATATTTATTTCGCATTAGGGGAAAGAAATACGATCGATCCTGATTTCATTTCCTTTTGTTACAGGCGGTGCAATCGAAACCTTCTCAAGGTCGTACTTACCAATCCTGTCAATCAGTCTGATACTCCTCGACCTAATTCGATGAGCATGATCGTTCCTCGAGGAGTCTTCAATTATTCAAACCTGAAGTGCGAGAGCGTGTTAACGTTGATCGACGAGGAGCCAACGAATTAGCCAATAGAATCGATATAATCGTAGTGATTGATCTAAACTTTGTTAGCTGATAGGGTTTAAAAAAAAAAGAAAAAAAGTATTATATCATAGATCGAGACTAAACGATTTTTTTAGTAATTAGTATACTTTGCGAGTAAAGTATAAGACTGTTAAATAAAATAAACCGATGAATAAGACAATTTTACACAGAAAACTTAAACGAAATATTTTTTCTCGACCACACTATTTAATATTCCCTGTCCGAATGTATAGTAATCTTAAGATACGAGTAGATTGATCGAAGAAAATCTGCGTACATTACGAATCCCCCGTGCTGGTTTTATTTCGATAAGGGAAAAGAAAAGCTCGACACGCGATTCAAGTTTCTATCGTTTGCGAGCAACGATCCCTCTCCGTTTCTTTCTCTCTTTCTCTTTCTTTCTTTCTTTCATCAGTATTAAGTTAATTCGATGACGTAGCCTGTCTTAATGCTTGACTTTCAAGAAAGTGATATGTAATCGTGACGTTACTCTTAACAAAAATGACAATGAACACGTGAGGAAATGAAAAAAGAAAAATAGAGGAACGGGTCAAGGTGTTCTAGCGAGAATTCACGGTTTCAAAAATGATCGAATCGTTGTAAAAAGTACTATCTAAGTTACATACCTAAGGGAGGGTGGGCGGTAAAAAAAAAAGAAAAGGGGTAGTGTGATAGAAGGGATAAAGATCTCGTATAAAATGTCTCGCGAAAAGAATACGAAGAACGTTTGTGCCGTGCGTTGATTATCCAAATTACATCTCGAGGTTGCACAGGTAAAAGTACTCTCTTGTATGTATAAATATGTATATATGATGTGTAACCCTACGTGTGTAGACATTTTATATAAAATACAAGGAGATTAAGGGAAGATGAATTATGAATTTCACTAATGTTCGTGGCTTATAAAAAAAGAAAAAGAAAAAGAAAAAAAAATGATCGATGAAAGAGAGTGTCGTATGCTGACCTTAGGCTAACTTAAGTAAATGAACGTCATTGAAGATATTATACTTTTTTTCTTTTTTTCATTATAAACTATAGAACAAAAAATTCGTAAGAAAAATCGGACAATTGTTAAAATTTGTAAGAAAATGTCAAACGTCATCTTGTTTAACAATAAATTAAAAGCACCACAAACTGAATATATATATATATATCTTTCTTTTCAGCATTATATTCTTTTCGTCATTTCGTGATAATTGCAAAACTACTTGCGCACATTTGCCAACTAAAATGCTTTCCGTTTTTCCCCGTATTCTCTTATCGCGAATCTTCGTAAAAAGTGTCGAGTACGCGACCGTCGTTGAAAACTTGAAAACCCTACCTACCTTCCCGTCGGAATGCAGCTTTAATATTCGAATTTTCGCACGAACAAGTTGACATTTAAGCTTGACTTTCGTTAAACCATTTTTCTCTCAAAACGACGTTATCACTATTTTATGATTGCGCGGTTCGAAAGAGAAAAGAAAAGAAAAGAAAAAAAAGAAAAAGAAAAAAGGTATAATAAACGCGTTGTTGCGTTGAGGGGATAGGGGGGAGAAAATGTGGGAAAACTTATTGTCTTCGTAGGTCGTTCATTGTGCGAATATATGCGAGCTTTGATGCATATCGTATCGAATTAAGTAGAAAGAAGGAAGAAAAAAAAAAAGGAGAAGAAGGAAGGAAGGAAGGAAGGAAGGAAGGTGGTGGGTAATAGTAAAGACCCTAATTAGTCGAAAGTTTTACTGGAGGCAATTCTTTGGACGTTCAAGAATTATCGTATAAAGAAGCAATATTTTTATGGGACTTTAGGGTCAGTGTTCCATATAAATTAAAACGTCAAAATGTTAAGTTCCCCCCTATACATACGAGAATATATTTTTTTATCTACTTTCTTATCCTTCCATTCTTCGTCAATTACCTGTGTTTTTTATCGTTTCATCGGTACGCGCAATTTAAAAAAAAAAAAATATATATATATATATATAGAAAAAAACACGCAAAGATATTTTAAGAAATAGGAAAAAAAAAAAAAAAAGAAAGGTAAGATAAAGAAAGGAAATCCAAGTCGGCAATGGAGAAAAGCGAAGATTGTTTTCCAATAGCTTCGGGAGGAGCTTTCGAAAATTAGCATACGTCCAATCGGAATTGCAAATCAACAAGGAACGAAAACGGACGTCGATATATATATGTATATCCATTTGTGCAGCGTACTCAGTCTCGCCATTTTTCGATATGGCTTTCACCATTCACCCGATGTGGAGAGAGAGAGAGAGAGAGAGAGAGAGAGAAACAGATAAATAAAATAGAAAGAATGAGAGTTACAAAAAAAAAAGAAAGAAATGGAGAGCAAGTAGGGGGATGAAAAAAAGAAAAAAGGGAAAGAAGAATAAATAAAAAGAAGAAAAAAAAAAGGGTCGTAAAAAGGTAGTACGTTTCGATTGTTCGCTCGATCGTTTCTTTCTTTTCTTTTCTTTCCTTTCCTTTACTTTCTGAGTTAGTTCGTTCTTTATTCGCGAGGCAAAGAAAGGGGTAGTGGTGTTATAGTTCGAGGATGCGAAAGGTCACACGCCAACCAGATGGACAGCCGATAGAGACTCGACCTGGCTTCTTTCTTTGTAAAACAGGTCAGAGCTCACTCACGCGGTCAGGAAGTGACGCGTCCTAGTGCCGTGCTAAGCGAATCGCATCGCACGAAATTCCTCCTGCGAACAGAACCTATGAACTTTCCTCCTCCTCCTCCTCCTCCTCCTCCTCCTCCTATTCGCCTTATTATCCTTGTCTTATAACATTCTCTCTTTACTCTAATATATTAATAAATATCGAAGGGGATAATTTATTGATCAAAAACTATCTAATCTAATTGATTAACCGAGATTCACTTATTATTTTTTATGAATTTTACTTCGCGCAATATATTGGGATGATTAATTAATTAGATTAAAAAGAAAAAAGTAAACATATAATAATAAAATTGAAGAAAATGTCTTTTTTTATAAATCTATTTCTCACTTCCATCTATCCGCTCCCCCCCCCCACGCACCCCGCCCCACCCACTCAACCCGTTTGGAGAATTTCTTTTTCTAGGAAAATCAAAATGTTATCACAGGAAATATCGAAATCTATTTTAAAGGAAACACGAAATGGATGAGACGATAAAGATCTTATTGAGTGAAATCACGAGAAAGCATGAACCACGTAGGTCAACGTGCCCCACTGAGGTTTCTCTCTGCAAAAGAGAGACGTCGAAAGATTTAAGGGTTTGGCCATTTTGCCATCTGACCGATTGCAAATTGTTACCACAGGTGAAACATAAATTCTTCCTATTTCTTGAAGTTAGTTTACTTAACTGAGCTTAAAACGAGAACTTGGAACGAAAAGTACGGTCACTCGAAAACGTTCATTCTCTTCCTGTCTCTCTCTCTCTCTCTCTCTCTCTCTCTTTTTATTTCTCTCTGTTTCTCTCTCTCTCTCTTTTTGTATGCATGCGTGTTCGCGCGCGATCGCGTGTTCAGTATTAACATCTCTTATATGTGTCTCGTGTGTTAATGTGATATCCAAACAGTGGAGGCCAAGGTTACGCGTTAGATGGCCACTTGCAGTTTTTCTACAAGAATTTTATTTTTTTCTACGGTACTATGGCGCAAAAAGAAACAAATTAAACGAATAATTATAAAATCCTAATTTTACAGATCCAATAATCAAAGATTTTAACGATATGAGATGAAACAATTTTATCGTTCGGTAGGACTTACTCTATGTCACTTTAAATTAGAAATGCGTTTCACGAGGCAAACATTAAAGCGATGAAATTAAATTTATCGATCCTGCATGCTGTAACATCGGCCATGTCAAGATTGTGTACTAACTACGGTATACGGTATTATTAAAGAAAACAAAAAATTAAAAAATGAGACAATACACGATGACGCACGAAGAAGAGAGACGTTATTGAAGTTTGTTAATCGTTCGCGTAGAAAAAAAAAAATCATCAAATTTACCATTCTAACGATCACTACTTAAGCTTTTAATGAGATTTAAAATAAGTTTATACTTATAAAAAATATACTTTATAAGATGGGTAAAACGCGAGGTACTAGGAGTTCGAAATAGAAAAACGATGTTTGTGTCACAAAAAGTACGATTTTATAAATCAAATTTAATATTTAAATGAATTTCTCGCATATTAGGAATGCAAATTTGCTATTTTTACGAATTAATTACTATTTTTCTCTTTTGTTGTAAATTCAAACTATTTCTAAAATTACTATCGTCGTATCGATTAAATGAATAATTTTCCACGTAATTGAAATTTTCGGTAAAAATTGTTTTCCGAATTAAAGAAAGTTGCTATTATCATATCTTCCTCGTATCTAAATTATCACCGAAGAAAGGAAACTTTATAACAGATTTATCTTTTCAAAGATGACGTCTTCCGTATTATTAAAATGTATAACGACAAATTCTCTTTGCCAAGGAAAAATGTAATTTCCGTAACTTTAACGACTGTAATTACTTTTCTTTTTAATTTCCCCTGAGATTACTTTCTTCCATAGTATAGATGCTTCTTCCTACGCAATTTTCTATAGACCAAGGTAGGAGAGATTTAGACAAAAATTGAAAATGTGCTGCTATCTTGAGATAAACATTATGAATTGTAAAAATTATTGAAAGGTATCTTAATATAAAAAACAAAGTTTCCTATTTTAACGACAGAATATARGTAAATATGATAAAACAGTGTGTGCGGAGAATTGAACGATAACTATTATCGATAGCAGAACTTCTCAATACTGGCAAAGAATATAGAAGTACTCTTTTGTACAGTATTCTTTGATAGTTTATATGATATATAATTTGATACTATATATAGTATAGTTATATTATAAAAACATTAAAAAAAAAATAATATTAAATTTGTAATGCATAAACATGTGTGTGCCTTCAGAAATGCATTTATAAGTACATATTAAAAAGAAGCAATTAAAGACACATAAATAAAAAATAATCCAAAAGGTTCGATGATAAATCCAACGATGATCACCTGTAACAAAAAGCAAACTATATTAGTAATACAGTCAAGTGATACAATAGCCTAACATATGAATCGTCCAATTCGCAGATGCACTTTTCAATTGAATTCTCTATTTACTATATTCAAATCTCTATATTTAAATGAAATTTAAACGAGTGATTTTACATTTATAAAAAATAAATAAAAATAAAGAAATAGAAAAAGTAAAAATACTAAGTTACTAGAAAAAATAATATCTATTTACTATTGTGAAATACTTTTAAAAAAACTGCACATTGTACAGAAAAGAAAAATTTAAAAGACAAAATAAGAAAAGAGAAATTACTATAATATTTACCAAACGTTATTTCAGCGAAAATTAAATCAAAATTTAATAATACAAAAATTTTAATATTTTTTACTCTAATTAAAAACATATGCATCTTTATGACGATTTTGATGGACACAGATTTGGTGTCCCAAGGAGATGGAATGGTCCATCATCTCCAATTACAACTACAAATTAATGACGAGCAAGAAAAAAATATAATTATATATATAAAATATGACTAGAGAGCTATTCTCGAAAAGTTCGAACTTACTGTTTGAACTTTTGAAAATAACTCAATAGCCTGAATAGTAGTTGCCCACTT